ACTGGACAACGGGGACGTGCAGCATCAACAAGCACGAGGGGCTAATTAAGCTCCCTGCATGGACCCCTGACTACATCCAAGCCCCGTGCGTCAAAGCCATCACTATAGCCCGCCACTTCAACAGGGGCACGCAGCTGTTCGCCGTTTGTTTACGCGAGTTGGCAGTCGACACCGAAGGAAAAGACATCGAGAAGCTGTGTGCAGCTGTACCACCGGATTTAGCGGAGCTGATTCGGAGGTACCCGGAAATCTTCCCCGACGATCTGCCACCTGGACTGCCACCGGAGAGACCTGAGGACCACAAAATCCAGCTAGAACCTGGAGCGCAACCAACCGTTCGGACACAGTGGCGGTTGACCCAGCCAGAACTCGAGGAGCTGCGACGACAAATCGACGCACTGTTGGAAAAAGGGTTCATTCGGGCCAGCACATCTCCCTTCGCAGCACCGATTTGTTCACTCCGAAGAAAGACGGCGGGCTTCGCATGTGTATCGACTATCACGCGCTGAACAGGGTCACCATCAAGTCTCGCTACCCAATCCCACGCACCGACGACCTCCTCGACCAACTTCGTGGCGCTCGCTATTTCTCGAAAATTGACTTACGTGGCGGTTACCATCAAATTCGAGTCTTCGCCGACGATTGTCACAAGACTGGGTTTCGTACACGCTACGGGAGTTACGAATTCACAGTGATGCCTTTCGGCCTCACGAACGCGCCCTCAACTTTTCAGCTGACCATGAAGAGGGTTTTTCGGGATCTTCTAGACCGGTGCGTTATCATCTACATAGACGATATCCTCATTTTTAGCAAGACAAGGGAGCAGCACCTCCGTGACCTGGACGCAGTGTTTAAGCGGCTGCAGGAGAACCGACTCATCACCAAGGGCTCTAAGTGCAAGTTTTTTAAGCAGGAGTTGGAGTTTTTGGGGCACGTCATCTCGCGCGACGGCATTAAAATCGACCCGGCGAAAATCAAGACCATACAGGAGTGGAAGTCCTAGACGAACGTCACGCAGCTCCAGAGTTTCCTCGGATTCGTAAATTACGTCCGGAGGTTTATCCCGAATATGGCGGGGATAACCGGCCCGCTGACCGACCTGCTGCACAAGGACAAGAATTTTGCGTGGGGGGAGGAGGCAGAAGCGGCGTTCCAGGAACTCAAGAATTTTCTCGTTTCCCCTCCTGTGCTGCGCATCGCCGATCCATCGAAGCCGTTCGAAGTTGTAACCGACGCCTCAGATTTCGCCATCGGAGCTGTGCTCCTCCAAGATTTCGGGAACGGGTTGCAGCCGATAGCCTACGAATCACGCAAGCTGCAGGCAGCCGAACGCAACTACCCGATCCACGACAAGGAGATGCTTGCCATCATACACGCATTTAAACTATGACGATGCTACCTGGTGGGCGCCGACGTCACTGTTAGCACGGACCACAAATCCCTACAGTACCTACGAGCCCAACCCAACCTCAACCCACGACAGATTCGATGGCTCGGCTACATGGAGAGCCATTTCACCTACCGCATCACGTACAAAAAAGGGGCTAATAACATCGCCGACGCCCTGACCCGACCGACAGTACAATCCGCTGCAGTACTCATCACCCACTCGAACCCGCTACTTACCGGACTATTCACCCACGGCTACACGACAGACCCCTTCTTCACAACGGGAAACCATCAGCAGGCTACGACGCAGAAAGGGGACTATTACCTAAAAGCCGGAACCGACCGGATTTGGGTTCCCGCTTACCGTCTGCTGCGTGAGCTCCTCATCCAGGAGATACACGATTCAAACCTCTCCGGACATTTCGGGGTCGATAAGACACAGAAACTACTGCACCGTCACTATTACTGGCCTGATTCCTCTAACGACGTGCAGCGCTATGTGTCCTCATGCAGGGTGTGCCAAGCAATGAAGTCGACATGTCAGCGACCAGCTGGATTGCTGCAACCCCTCGAGCCACCCGAACGACCGTGGCAACAAGTGACGATGGATTTTGTCACGGGGATGCCAGCTGGGCCGACAGGCAACGACGCTGTTCTCGTCGTCGTCGACCGCTTCACGAAAATGGCGCACTTCGCACCATGCCGAACGACAATCACAGCCGAAGAAACTGCGCGACTTTTCATATCGACGGTCGTGCGACTGCACGGCATCCCTTCAGCGATCATCAGCGACCGCGACCCAAAATTCACATCCAAATTCTAGAAGGAGACATGGGCGCAATACGGCACGAAGCTACAGTTCTCATCGGCTTACCACCCGCAGACCGACGGTCAAACAGAGCGGACCAACCAGACCATGGAGCAGTTAATCAGGACAAACTGCCCTGATCCTGCCCGCTGGGAAGACTCGCTCGCAATGTTGGAATTCGCTTTCAACAACGCACCATCCAGCACGACTAATCACTCCCCATTTTTCCTGAATTTTGGGATGGACCCGGCGATTCCGACGACAACTACACTCGACAATCCGGTCCCGGGTTCCCAGACTTTCGTGACGGAACTCCAGGAAGTCCGCAAAAAAGCCACCGACGCAATTCGCAAAGCGAATATTACTTCCCGCAAATACACCAACCTTCTTCGCCGGGAACTCGTCTTGACTACTGGGCAATTAGTCCTCCTCGACACGAAAAACCTGAACCTGCCCGGCCCTGCGAAACTTCGGCCACGATTTTGCGGACCGTTCAAAATTCTCAAGATGGTGACACCTGTCACCGCGAAGCTGTTGCTACCCGACGATTGGCATATACATGACGCGTTCCACATCAGCCTTCTTCGGAAGTTCGTGCCTACCACGACCGACATCGCACGTCAACAAGCGGCCCTGACAGCTCGCCCCGTCCCGGAGCCAACCCTTGACCCTTCCAAGATTCTCGCTCATCGTGTCCGCCTTGACGCCGCTGGACGCCACGTGGATTTCTTAATTCGATGGACCGACCGCACCAGTGAGGACGACACGTGGGTGCCATCCGCTTCACTGGACGCCTCGACGCTTGTTGGTGATTATCTGGCGCGACGGCGTGTTTCGGCTATTGACTCCCTTTCTTAAGGGGGGGGGGGGGTGGTGTAAGGGAATTTTCCCGAATTCCTTATCGGGGTTGACTGCTTCGCGTACAACCCGATTTTCGGAGTTCGCACGTTCGGCCGATTTCAACGCTGCCGAGGCTCCTCACGTCGCCTTCGGCTTTCCTATCGCCAAACCTGCACCCAACCTCGCTCGTCCTAGGTTTCCTCCTAGCTAGAGTAGTCCTACATTAGTCTGTGCATTCATTGTATTCTCAGTTGATTCAGTCACAGCTTCGTTATTCGTTTACCTGCGCACTCTCTTTTACAACTCATAACATCACGCGCCCTTAGTTACGACTTGGCTTACTCGCAGATCCCTTTCCCCGTCATCCGAGAATTGACCTAGTTCTAGTCTGAGCGCTTCCGATCTCAACAAAACCGTAGAAGCACGTAGTTCCTCCCTCGCGTCTTACACCATGAGGTGAGCTTCGTCTAATTCTCCTCGTACCGTCTGTGCTGCTTACGTATGTCTCAACGGAAGGTCGAAGATTAACATTGTTGCCTTGTCTCTCGTTGTCACTTTCTCCGTGTGTCTTGCGTTCATTCCGTCGTCCTGATGACGTTGCCTTCAGTCGACCAATGGACGAGGATGAGGTGCGTAATTTTGTCGTTCTCGTCGTTTTTTCCTCAAGCTTATATTTCTTTAGAATGCCTTTCTCACTTCCATTGCCATCACGCGTGTTATTCGTCTGTACAGGCGGAGAAGAAGGAAGAAGAAGAATTCAGCACAGGGCCGTTATCCGTGCTCACGATGAGTGTCAAGCAAAATACTCAGGTTCGATCAAATCAAGGGTTTTTTATTCCGGGATTTAGTCACAGAGGCGTCGTTTGTTTATGAAATGCACGTTTTCACGTCTCGGCGTGTCTCGCTTGTTTTCTGACAGGTATTGATAAACTGCAGAAACAACAGGAAGTTGCTTGGAAGAGTGAAGGCCTTCGACCGTCACTGCAACATGGTCTTGGAGAACGTCAAAGAGATGTGGACAGAGGTAGGCCTAACCTACTTCAGTTTCCGTTTCGATTATATTTCTCTGTTTCCGCCCCTGTTCATCTCTTTTGCTGATCTCACTCTTTCCGGGTCTTCCAGGTTCCAAAGACTGGGAAGGGGAAGAAGAAAGCCAAGCCAGTGAATAAGGATCGATTCATCAGCAAAATGTTTCTGAGGGGAGATTCAGTCATCATTGTCCTTAGGAACCCTAAATAGGGAGCGCCCTTTTCTGCAGCAACACTTCCGTTTTCTCCAATTTTAGCTCATCTTAGCAGTGCTCGGGAGGTTAGGACCTTTCTACCAAGCAGGTATGAAGCTGTTCTGCATTCAAATCAAGGTGGAGGGCTCTAGCGTGGGGTATGGTGAGCCCATCAGGTAGTGCTGGTGCATATCGTTTAGCACGGGTTTAGATTTTGTTATTTCAATTCACTTTGCTATCATTTTACTTACTAACAAGCAGAAGCCTTTAACTGTGCTGCTCAGATTCTCACAGGGTTGCACAAGCTGCTTCCTCACCGAAGTGGACAAAATTGATTGCAACCCTGGATCATACACAATCTGATTCATACAATGTAGTTCTCACGTGGAGTGGCCTGAGCACAGAGACAAGGTCCTGCAACCGCACCGGCTTGGTCAAGAAGCCATCCATTCCCACCTTTTCACACTTCTCGCGCTCGTGATTTAATGCACCAGCAGTGAGTGCAACAATAATCGGTCTGCTCTCAGGAAGCGGATTTGTGAAATAATGCTCATGCCGTCCCGCTGGCCTTGACCTATCCGTATCGGGTCTGAAGTCCTCCTGATGGCTATCTACCTTGCCATTGTCACGTGTGACACTTCTCTGCTGTGCATCAAGGGCCCGGATGTTGCAGGTGGCTTCAAAGCCGTCCATTTCCGGCATGTGAACATCCTGCAAGAAAGTAAATAGAGCCACAGGTGGTCAGGAAGGCCAAGGTACCAAATAGAAAGGCGGTTCGTATCCAGCAATCGAGCAAGCCAGGCTTACCATGAGCACAAGGTCGTATTCCTTGTCACGGCATGCCTGCACTGCAAGCACACCATTCTCCGCCACGTCGCTGTTCACACGTAGGCTGCGCAGCAGACGCACCACCACCATGCGGTTCACTGCATTGTCCTCCACCACCAGACACCGCACTCCCGGAAATGACACCAATGGTGATCGGGGAGGTGATTTCAAACCACTTGGTGCCTTCGCTGATAGTACAGGAGCATCTGAAACATCCTCGTTAGTTGAAGGCACATGATCATGCTTCTGGTTTCGATCTATTCGCAGTGGATTGTGCATCCTCCATTGCTGAGCCACTAAGACCTTGTTCGGTCCGGCTTCCTCCTTGGCATTGATCTGCTGCTTCCCCTGCTCCTGCAATTCTCCCTTTGAGTGCTGCACCTCTTGCTCTGCTTCGGCCACCTGATCCAACCCTTCTCCCACCAATCGCAAGCTTTCCTGCATTGACCAGGAGAGTGGACTCAGAGCAGCAGCAGCAGCAGTTGCAGCAGGAGCAGGCGCCGCACCGGAAACAGCAGGAGCAAAAGCAGCAGCAGCAGCAGCAGCACAGGGCTCAACCGGCCGGTCATAGGCACCTATGCTGGAAGGTTCAGAAGTTGCCCTGACCACCTTGAAGGGCAGCGAGAACTGGAACGTGGTGCCATGCCTTGGATGAGCATCAGCAGCTTGCTTGCTGTAGAAATCAGCAGCACCAATTGCTGCTGTCGGACATGCAGTTATATCGGCAGCCATGGGACATGGATTGGTCGGACCGGTGTGGCTGGTGAGGCTGGTGTGGCTGGTGAGGCTGGTGTGGCTGGTGGGGCTGGTGGGGCTGGTGGGGCTGGTAGGAGTAGTGATTTTGCTGGAGGGACTCGTGGGGTTCCTGCTGCCTGCATTCGCATCACCCGCGGATCCAGCCACAGGCACACGGTCGGCAGGCTTTGGACTGGCCACCGAGGACACGTGGATGGTGCCGCCCATGAGCGTGACGAGCGAGTGGCAGATGGCAAGCCCGAGCCCCGTGCCACCGTACCGGCGGCTAGTGGACTCGTCTGCCTGCATGAACGGCTGGAAGAGGCGTGGGAGCATGGCTGGGGGAATGCCGATGCCCGAGTCAACCACCTCAAAGTGCACTGTTATCTCCTCCTCTCCAGTCACCTCCTCTTCCGAGTCTGTCTCTGCAGATGCCCCTCCTTGGGGCGCCTCTAACTGCACCTTGACCACCTCTCCAGAGACCTCTTTTGAGTCCGTCTTCCCACACGCAGGCCCTTGGGGCGCCTCAAGGTGCATCATCATGTCCCTGTTGAAATCCTTTTCCCCGAATGTGGGCTCTTTGGTCGTGACTGGCATCACTGCCGCTGCCGGCCTCTTCCCCTCTGCTTCCACCCTCACCTGCTGCTTGTGAATCCCTCTAGCCGCCCCACCACCAGAACTCCTTTTGCTGCGCTTCAGAACCGTGCAACCACCCCCCTCCCCAGTGGTCCTCCCTGCTGCTGCCCCTGCCGCGCCCGCTTTCATGTAGCAGTCTTCTCCCTCACAGCTACAGCCCACCCTCTTGCGTTTTCCCCACCCATTTCTACAGCCAAATTGCTGTACTGCCGTCTCTGCGTCTCCCCCCTCCATTTCTGCTAGTGATTCCACTGGCACTTCCACTGGTGGCGCCTCTGCTGTTGCCGCTGGTGGCTCTTCTAGTGCTGCTTCTGGTGGGCTTTTCAGCGCCTCCTTCAATGGCCCTTCCAGCAGTTCAGCTGATCCCACACTCCTCTCAGCTGCTGGTGCAGCTCGTGCAACCCATGCTGTGCTTTGAGGGGCCTCAATGCATGGCGCTGCTGCTGCTGCTGCTGCTGCTGCTGCTGCTGCTGCTGCTGCTGCTGCTGCTGCTGCTGCAGCGGCAGCGGCAGCAGCAGCGGAGGCGGCAGTTGCGGCCGCTGCTAAACAGGCCTTTTCAGAGACTTCCTCTGCTGGGACGTTTGATGTGAAAATCCGGAGCTTCACAAAGCCCCTGATCATTGTTGGGCGAGGCAAGAGGGTAACAGGAATGGTTTTTGAGAATTCTAAAAAACCAGGGTAACAGGAATAGGGGCATTCTTTTTGTTTCTGTGTGCAACTGGGTGAACGTGACGGCGTGGGAGAGGAAGAAGAGAGTTAAAGCAGACAAGGGATGAGAAGAGGGGAGGAGAGAAGGATGTGCGAGGAGTGAGGAGATGCCAGGAAGAGAGGAAATGAGAGGAGGGAGGGAGAGAGCACTGACTGATGGGTGAACAGGTTAAAGTGGTGTTGAAGAGCAGGTTAAGATGGTTCAAGTGGGAAGGAGAGGGGAGACAAGAGGAGAGGAGGCAGATAAGCGGGTGAGAAGAGGGAAAGAGAGAGCACTAACTGGTGGGTGAACTTGATGGCGTTGGAGAGGAGGTTGAGCAGCACTTGGCGCAGGCGAGAGGGGTCTCCCACGATGCAGCGCGGCACGGAGTCTACATCCATCTCCACCTCCAGCTGCATTGCACAAGAGGGGACCGCCAACCAGCACATGCATGAGAGGGAGGGGGAGAGGGATGAAGGGTGTTAGAAGGAGAGGAGGTTGAGCAACACTTGGCGCAGGCGAGAGGGGTCTCCCACTATGCAGCACGGCACGGAGTCTAAATCCATCTCCACCTCCAGCTGCACGCACATTAGAGGGGGTTCCCAACCAGCAAACGCATTGGAACACCAGGAAGGAGGAGGAGTGGACGGAGTTGAGGGAGTTTCAGGCTCACACCATCTCCCCCCCTGTCACAAACACCTATTCAACCACACTCTACCCCACTCCTTTTCACTCACCATAAGCCCTTTCCGTTGTGCCAGCACAGCAACAGCAGTCACAGCGTCATCCACTGTCTGCTGCAGGATCAACTCAACCACACTCAACCTTCCCCTATCACACTCAGCCGCATATACCACTCACCTTGAGCCCTTTCCGCTGTGCCAGCACAGCAACAGCAGTCACAGCGTTTGCTACTGCCTGCTGCAGGTGGAACGGGATGGACACGACCACACTCAACCTTCCTCAATTACAATCAGGCGCACTCATTGCCACTCACCTTGAGCCCTTTCCAGCTGTGCCAGCACAGCAACAGCAGTCACAGCGAGGTGACTTTTGAGTCGACTCAAAAGTCACCTAGTCACAGCGTCTGCTACTGTCTCCTGCAGGTGGAACGGGATGGACTCGAGCGCAAGAGAACGCGCTTCGATCTTGCATATATCGAGTACGTCGGATATGATGTGCAGCAGACTGCTCCCTCTTCACTCAACCGCACAAAACCCCGCTCAACCACATCCAGCCCCACTCAATCGCACTCACCTCGAGCCCTTTCTTTTGCGCCAACACACTGACAGCAGCCACAGCATCTGTTACTGTCTGCTGCAGGTGGAACGGGATGGACTCGAGCGCTAATGACCGCGCCTCAATCTTGCTTATATCGAGTACGTCGGAGATTATGTGCAGCAGGCTGTCTCCCGACGAGCGGATCACCTCGCAGTACTGCTGCTGTTCAGGGGTCAATGGCGTTTGCAGCAGCAGCTCCGCCACTCCCAGCACACCTGGGGGAATGGAGGGCGAAGGGGGAGAGAGGGGAGAGGGTGGGAGTACGTCAGATATGATGTGCAGCAGACTGTCTCCCGACAAGCGGATCACCTCGCAGTACTGCTGCTGCTCGGGAGTCAGAGACGTTTGCAGGAGCAGCTCCGCTGCTCCTAACACACCTATAAGAGAGGGAGGGAAGGGGGGAGGGGTTGGTTGGGACGTCTTGAAAGTCCACACCCGACGAGCGAATCACCTCGCAGTACTGCTGCTGCTTGAGGGTTAGCGGCGTTTGCAGCAGCAGCTCCGCTACTCCTAACACACCTGGGGGAGGTAGAGGAGGGAGGGAGGGAATTGTAGGGAAATGGTCCGGCTGTCTCCCGACAAGCGAATCACCTCGCAGTACTGCTGCTGCTCGGGTGTTAGAGGCGTTTGTAACAACAGCTCCGCCACCTCCAGCACATCTGGAAAAGGGAGGGCGGAGGGGAAGAGAGGGGAGGTGGGGAGATCTAATGGCTAATTTTCGCCAGGAACTGGCTCTTGGCGTGACTCGCCTTCTCCCTTCATGGAGCCCTGCGCACCCCTCACCTCTCAACTGCTCACCATTCATGGGGGTGCGGATCTCATGGCTGATGTTGGCCAGGAACTGGCTCTTGGCCTGACTCGCCGCCTCTGCCACCTCCTTGGCCTGCCTCAGCTCCTCCTCATGCCGCTTCATGTCCCGCAGGTCGTGCCACACAGATACCACCTCCCCCGGATGCTCCTCCTCGCTCAGAAACTGTGTGGACAGCCGCAAATACCAGGGAGGGGCGGGGGAATAATTGTTTCTCATGCCGCTTCATCTCCCGCAGGTCGTGCCACACAGATACGATGCTCCTCCTCGCTCAGAAACTGTTGCAGAGGGAGGGACGAATGGGTGGGGGGGAATGGGTAGGGCGACATAGGGAAACGTGGGGGGAGGTGAAGAGGGGTCAACGGACACCTTCCCACACATGTGCCTGCACCTACTCACCCCGTCCCACCCCCTCGCACCACTACCCACCCCCTCTTACGCACCTGCACTTTGACCAGCACAGGGAACAGCTCCCCTCGAGTATCATAGTGCCACCACTTATCGATAGACGCCTCTCCTCGCAGCAGCGGCTGCACGAATCGCATCATCTTATCCGCCGTCCGCTCGGCCTCTCTCGCTGCCCTCTCCTCCCCTTCAGCTGGACCCCTGGCCCCTGGGGAAAGAAACAACGCTGCACTGCGCAACCCTTGGCCTTAAACATGAAACCCGGAACTATGCTGCACGCACCTGCACTTTGACCAGCACCGGAAACAGCTTCCCACGGGTATCACAGTGCCACCACTCGTCGATCGATGCCTCTCCCCGCAGCAGCGGCTGAACGAATCGCACCATCTTATCTGCCGTCCGCTCACCACCCGGCTGGACCTCCGGGGAAAAGGCGGCGGCGCCCAGCTTGTGACAGATGGCGGCCTTTGATTGGTGCCCGAGCATGCGCACTGCCGCTTCGTTGCACTCATGGATCAGCCTGTCTCCGCCAATTATAAATATTGGATCCTGTGTGTGGGGGTGAGGTGAAAGAAGGGAGTGGAATTGGGGGGAAGCGGGGTTCGGGTGATTGGTGTTCTAGCATGCATACTGCCGCCTCATTGCACTCGTGGATGAGCCTATCGCCACCGATGATGAATATCGGGTCCTGAGCGTGTGGGGGTCAGGTGAAAAGGTGGGAGTAGAGGTGGGAGTGTCGAACGGGGGAAAGAGGGGTTCGGGGTTTTGGCGCCCCAGCATGAGTGCTGCCGCCTCGTTGCACTTGTAGACGAGCCTATCGCTACCGATGATAAATATCGGGGCCTGAGTGTGGGGGGTTTAGTGGGAGAGGGGGTCTGGGAGTTCACTCAAACTCGTGAAAAAACCTATCGCCGCCAATGATGAATACCGGGTCCTTAGGTGTGCTGGTTGGGGAGAGTGGAATGGAACAGTGGCTTTGCCGAGTTAACTCAAGTTATGAGCTAGACGATTAATGGGTGGACTCACAAGACATGGATGAGAGGGTTGCATTGCACGCACAGTTGTACTGTACGCGTACGACAATACTCACCATAGAGATCTCGAATATCCGCTTAAACTTCCCGTTGTACACGCCCTCGCGGATTTTCGCCTCCAGCGCCTTCAGCCGCTCCACTAACGAGTCCAGCTCCTTCTCTATAGCGAGTACAGCTGCAGCAGCTGCAGCAACAGGGAGCTGGGGTGGCAGCTGGGCAGCGGAGAAGCAACCCTCCAGAGCAGCAGAGATCGATTCCTGGATGGAACAGAGGCGGGAATAAAAAGCTTCTGTGTTTCCGTTTATTGATCATATCATGTAGTGCGGAGGGCAGAGGGCACCCGCCACTGCCGGTGTCAGGAGTTGCCTCAGAAGCAGACCCTAGGCAAACCAAAAGCAAACCATAATCCCTGTACCTGTTTGTCTTTCCACGTGGAGATGTCATGCAGTGTGCAGAGCAAAGGGTGATCGCCACTGCCTTGACCGGAAGCCATCCCTATCGGAGCCAGGCGTAGCTCAAACCATCTGAACCGTCCATTTGATCCGATGATGCCATCAGAGTTGCCATGACTGCTTCCAAAACCAGCACGGCCAAGGCTGCTGCTACTGCTGCTGTCGCCATGACTACTGTTGCTGCTGACAGTGCTCCGAAGCCGGACTTCCAGCACGGTGGCTTTGCTGTCCGCGTTAAGAGCATGGCTCCGTGCCATATAGCTCTGAGAGTGAATGCAATGGTTAGGTAAAGTGAACAATAAAGCCCGCTTCGTTATGGTAGGAGCGAGTGGGGCTCCTGATTGGAGCGGACTCTTGCTTTTCCAACCACCTTGGAAAACAATGTGGACGAAAAGCGTTTGTGATTTAAGAGTCGACCCATGATCTTTGCAAGTGAACAGATGGTGGTGCGGTGATTTAGCGTATTCCATGCAAAGCCGCTCTAGTGAAATAAATGGATGTCAACATGGATGATGAACTCCAGGAACGAAACGAACTGTAACGAGTACAACGTGCTGACGGGTAAGTGGTGGCGGTGGGCTTACCTGAAACGCGCTCTGGTCGTCATCGTGAATCAGCTCCAGGAACGGACGGTGTTGAAGCTCCTGCTCGCCAGCATGGCCTGGCGACAGCGACTCGCGCATGGCAGCGCTGCACAAACAGTCACCAGAGGTGCACAGGCAGAGCGGGGTGGGTGGGCGGGGGGGGGGGGGGGGGGGGGGGGGGGTGGGGGGGCCGGGGAGGGAGAGTATGACAAGCTAACTGATTTCCATCTCGCCATCATGGCCTGGCGACAGCGACTCGCGCATGGCAGCGCTGCACGGAGGTGCATAGGCACGGAAGGTGAAGAATGGAAGCATTTCATTTTGAGTATCAACACCTAGCCAAGGCATGGAGTAAAACTGAGTCTCGGATCGCCAAGGCCTGACGAAAGCGACTCGCGCATGGCAGCGCTGCCGAAACAGGCACGGGAGGTAACGCATTGCACTTCATGTTGCCTTTTACGGCAAGTCCTGAGATGAGCTCGCTTGAGAACAACTCGCACATACTATCAACACCGTTTACTGCACAGGCACGGGTCGCGAAGCGACGCTTTGCATTGCATTACGCTTTGTGAAGCAACTCAGTGCTCAGCTCGCCGTGGCTCGTCATAAGGAACGAGAAGCGACACGTGTTCGTTGGAGTCTCCTCTTTGCTGAATATTTTCCGTTATATCTAAACGTTCACCTGAATACTCTACAAGTAGTACCTGCATTCGACGATCAGGCCATCTGCTGAGAGACAAGCCGCGGGAACATGCTCGCAGAGGGCTTCCGCTAGCATACGGCATTTCCTGGGTGAACTATCGTTGCGATCCATGGGGGCGATCAGAGTCGGAGACTCGAAAAAGGAGGATGCAAGAACCATTGCGCTTTTGCCTGGAATGTTTTTCATCCAGCTTTTCCTCCACGCCGATGCCAATGGAGTTCTAATTGGGAGGGTAGTTGTAAGGAATTTGCCAATTCCTTACTGTAGCCTTGCCTTAACGGGTACAGCCCGAGCACTTCGCGTCAGGTGGCTCGGCCTACATTGTCAGAATGTTATAGCTTACTTATTTGTGTAGGCTATAGTGGGGTATCCCATATGGGGTACAACCCAACTAGGGTTTCCTATTTGTACTCACTTCATTCATAGTCATTTCATTCTCGTTCTAACTTTCTCATGGTATCGAGCAGGTTCCCCCGTGGGAACTTTGCTTAGGGCCCACCACATCGAACCTTTTTTTTCTGCCCGGAGCGCGCTCCGGGCCCTTGCTCTTACTTTTTTTTTTTCGATCTGCCCTAACGGCCGAGCGCCGCCTTAGCGAGCCGCCCGCCCTAGCAGCCCGAGCGCCGCATTAGCGCTCGCGCCCCGCTGCCTGCCCTTGCGCTGCCTTAGCGGCATCGCCGCCCTGCTCTCGCGGCCCTCGCCGCCCTTCCTCACGCGGCTCCGCCGCCCCTGATCTCGCGGCCCCGTCGCCCCTGATCTCGCGGCCCCGCTGACCCTGAAAGCGCGGCCCTCGCCGCCCCTGATCTCGCGGCCCCGCCGCCCAAGCGCTCGCGGCCCCGCCGTCCCTGATCTCACGGCCCCGCCGCCTCAGCGCTCAAGGCCCCGCCGCCCCTGATCTCGCGGCCCCGCCGCCCCAGCGCTTCCGGCCCCGCTGCCCCTGATACGCGGCCCCATCGCCCCGGCGCTCCCGGCCCCGCCGCCCCTGATACGCGGCCCCGCCGCCCCAGCGCTCCCGGCCCCGCCGCCCCTGATCTCACGGCCCCGCCGTCCCTGATCTCGCGGCCCCGCCGCCCCAGCGCTCACGGCCCCGCCGCCCCTGATCTCGCGGCCCCGCCGCCCCAAGCGCTCCCGGCCCCGCCGCCCCTACTACGCGGCCCCGCCGCCCCTGGTCTCGCGGCCCCACCGCCCCAGCACTCACGGCCCCGCCGCCCGACTGCAGCAGCCGAGCCGCCCAACTACAGCAGCTGAGCCGCCCACCTGCAGCAGCCGAGCCGCCGTACCGCCGAGCAGCAGTGCAGCCGAGCCGCCCTGCACCCGAGCCGCCCGGCAGCCGAGCCGCCCCGCCCGAGCCGCCCTACCGCCGAGCCGCCTGGGAGCCGAGCCGCCCGGGAGCCGAGTCGCTGAGTAGCCGAGCCGCCTTTCTACCGAGCCGCCCGACCTGCCCTGCCCGGTGAGCACTGTACCGCTCTCACTGCGTGCCCTTCCCCTACTACTTGCACTGCTTCACTCTCGTCGTCATGGCTACCCCTAGTGTCCTCGCTTTTGACGCTGAGGGTCGAGCCATAGACTTTGAGGTCTGGCTCGACGACCTACAGCTGTTTTTACAGTGCGATAGGGCGGACGGTCTGTCTCTCTTTGACCTCACCTCTGGCGCCGTCCCTTCCCCTGCTGCAGATGCTGACGCCACTGTTCGCTCACAGTGGGCCACGCGCGATGCTGCTGCACGTCTTGCTGTGCGTCGCCACTTGCCTACCGCTGAGCGCGCGCACTTTAGCCAGTACAAGAGTGCCCAGACCTTGTACGACGCTGTAGTTGCGCGCTACTCCTCCCCTGCCACTGCTGCACTGAGCCGCCTCATGCTCCCCTTCCTCTTCCCTGACCTTGCCGCCTTTCCCACTGTCGCTGATCTCATCACGCACCTCCGCACTAGTGACACTCGCTACCGCGCTGCGCTTCCTGCTGACTTCTGCGCCAAGAACCCCCCCCCCCATGTACATCACTCTCTACTTCTTAGTCACTCGCCTCCCTGACTCCCTTCGTGTAGTCCGGGACCACTTCCTCGCGGTCTGTCCCACCACCCTCACAGTCGACAGCCTAGAGAAGGCCCTCCTTGCAGCAGAGAAGAGCATAGTCGCTGTAGGAGCCTCTCGAGGTGACCCCCGCGCCCCCATCTTTGAGGGGTGTTCTCCTTCCCCTCTCCTGCCCTCTGTTGCCTCTGCCGCTGCGGCCGACCTCGTTGGTCTTGAGTCGGTCGGTGCGGCGTCTGCCCCTAGCGGGAGACGCCGCTCTGGCAAGGGCAAGAGGGGCAAGGGAGCGGGTGGGGCCAGTGGGGGCGGTGGCGGTGGAGGTGGAGGCGGCGGAGGGAGTGGGGGTGGCGGTGGAGGTGGTAGCGGGGGTGGGGGTGCTAGTGGCAGCAGTGGAGGCGGGAGTGGCGGCGGCGGTGGCGGTGGTAGCGGAGGTGGCGGAGGTGGCGGCGGTGGAGGCGGAGGCGGGGGTGGCGGAGGTGGAGGTGGTCGGAGTGGAGCTTCGCAGCGGAGCGGCACTGGTGGCGGTCAGCGCCAGCAGCAACAGCAGCAGCAGCAGCAGCAGCGTTCTCGCGACATCCCCACCCCTCAGCAGCTCCGTGAGTGGTACACGCAGCGTCAGCGCGGTGGGGGTTTTGGTCCCTGCACCTACGTTCTCCGCACTGGCGACCGCACTGGAGAGCAGTGTGGGGGTGCCCACTCCGCCCAGCGCTGCTTTGGCCGCCTGACGGACGCTTGGCGTCAGCAGTTCCCGGAGGCCGCGGAGATCCCCCGCTGGGGAGAGCTGTCTAGGGCTGGTGTAGCTATCTTTGATCTTGATTTCGATGCTTGCTGCCATGTATGCTGTGACCATTAGTGAGGAGGGTGACTGTTTCCGGTGTTTCCCGCCCGACCCGGGCATTGGTACTGCTGCTCCAGGTGCCGGTGAGGCTTCTGCTCTAGGTGCCAGTGCGTCTGTACTCTCAGGTGCTCGTGAGACTGCGCTCTCAGGTACTGCGTCGGCTTCGGCCTCCCTCACCTTCACTCTTGACTCTGGAGCGTCTCGCTCTTTCTTTCGGGACCGCACCACACTTACGCCGCTTAGTCGGCCGGTTGCGGTTTCCCTGGCTGATCCCTCTGGGGGTCCTGTCCTGTCTCGCTTCTCCACAGTCCTCCCGTGTCCGGCGGCTCCCTCTGGCACCCTGTCTGGTCTCTACCTCCCCTCGTTCTCTACGAACTTGGTGAGTGGTGCTGACCTACAGAATGCGGGAGTCCACCAGTTCACCCCTGCTAGTCAGCGAGTGACGCACTGCTCGGAGGCTAGCACGGGTCGTCACCTGGCTACGTTTACACGTCAGCCAGGGTCGAGCCTGTACACACTGACCACTGCTTCTCCTCCAGGTGCTGAGCCTGGGGGTGCTGAGCCTGGAGGTGCTGAGCCTGGGGGTGCTGAGCCTGGGGGTGCTGAGCCTGGGACTGGGGGTGCTCCGCCTGGAGGTGCTTCGTCTCGCCGAGAGCCACTCTCCCCACAGGAGCTACGTGAGTGGTTTGCCAGGCGCTGGAGGCGTGCTACTGGTACTGGAGGTTCTTCGACTACAGAGGGTAATTCTGCCGAGCGTCCCGGAGGTGCTCGTACTGTGGGTGCTGGAGCTGCTGGGTCTGAGGGTTCTCCTGGAGCTGGTGCTGCTGAGGGTGTTGGCGCTAAGACTGCCGCTGGAGGTCCGACTGGCGGTGCTCCTGGTGGTGCTGGTGGAGGTTCTGGAGCTACTGGAGGTGCTACTGGAGCGGGTACTCCTACTGGGGGTTCTGGTGCTGTCCCTGCTGTTTCAGACGTCGCCGCGCGGCCCCGGCCGTACTTCGTTCCGCTCCAGCAGCAGGTTCTTGGTCTTACACCTTCTCCTAGTCCTCCTCCTCCTCCTCCCTTAGAGGGTCCACAGCCTGTCTCGTCCCAGTCACAGCTACAGCCTCCCTCACCTTTGCCTGCTCCTTCTCCCTACGCTGGTCCGACTGGAGGTCTTACTGAGCGTCGTGAGCCTGCGTCTCGTCCTGCGTCGCCTGTTCGTACTGCGCGCGCTAGTGGTCGCGGTTCGCGTCAGCGTCCTCCTCCTGTCCCTGGCACGCACCGGATGTCTCTGCGTCCGTCTACTGCTCCTCTGCGTGCCCCTTTGCCTTCTCCTCCTGCTTCCTCTCTTCCTGCTCTTGCCGACCCGGAGTCGGACTCTCTTCGTGCTGCCAGTCCTACTGTCACGCGTCTCCTTGCTACTGCTGTCACTAACCCTTCTTTCGAGTCTTCTGCTGCATCTACCTTTGTCACTGAGCTCGTCGACTTTGCTGCGCGCTGTCGTCTAGACTACGCTGCTAGTCTTGTCGCTGAGTCTGAGTCTGCCTGTCCTCCGTCCGTCAGGGGTGAGTGTGCCCTTGGCACGGACGTCCTTGAGGACAGGCAGGAGGAGTTCCAGTGTCTGGCCACCGCTTCACCTCATCTCGCGTCTGTACTGCTAGCCCCTGAGGGAGACCCGGATGCACTAGACATCCCGAATCCGCGCTCTTACGCGGAGGCGATAGAGGGTCCCTACTCCTCTCAGTGGCAGGCAGCTATGGATGCAGAGATGGCTTCCTGGAAGTCCACAGGCACCTACGTTGACGCTGTTCCCCCTCCTGGGGCGAACATCGTCAGTGGCATGTGGATTTTCAGGGTGAAGCGGCCGCCGGGTTCTCCGCCTGTCTTCAAGGCGCGTTACGTGGCTCGTGGCTTCAGTCAGCGGCAGGGGGTTGACTACTTTCAGACCTTCTCCCCCACCCCGAAGATGACCACTCTTCGGGTACTACTGCACGTTGCTGCACACCGTGACTACGAGCTGCACTCTCTCGACTTCAGCACAGCTTTCTTGCAGGGCAGCCTGCACGAGGAGATCTGGCTGCGTCGCCCACCTGGCTTCACTGGGTCTTTCCCTCCTGGTACCCAGTGGAGTCTCCGGCGTCCAGTCTACGGTCTCCGCCAGGCGCCACGTGAGTGGCACGACACACTGAGGACTACGCTAGCGGCACTTGGGTTTGCTCCTTCTACTGCCG